ACTAAATCAAGCTTACATCTTTTGAAAGCAAAAAATATGCAAATACATTGAGAACTATGTCGATAACATTATGTTAAATTCATTGGGAGATGTTCCCAATGTGCAATGATCACAACCAAAGCATGTGCCGCCAGCTTTGCATTAAGTCCTTGGTACAAATGTAACCATGCAATTCTGAAATTGAGACATTGTACTCTTGCAATAAAAAGGTTTGTTATTTTGGCCATAAAAAGCAAAAAAAAAAGAAAAAGCTTAATATTTTATTATTAATCAAAAATCTAAGACGAATATCCTAAAAGCCCACTAAAATCTGTTAAAATATTAAAATATCTGAAATTTCCATTAAAATACTCTCAAATATTTCAATATAAATTAAAAATTATTAAATTTTATGCAGAAAAAAGAAGGTCGTTTTCAAAAGAAGAAAAATAGTAAAAATAAAATAAAGTTTTAAGTTTGAACTCTGAAACCACAAATAAATAAATAAATAAATAAATAAAGAAGAAAGAATCTTATCGCGTTTTAAAGTGCGTGGGCCGTCTCAAGATTCCACTAGTGATTTGATCAAATGGGCCGCCACCATAAAAAATATGGGAATATATGTCAACGTTGTCGTAATTTTGATTTGGACAACACCCCCCATCTAACACGTGGCATCAACATGCTGATCCTTCCATCAGGACCGTTTACAGGATCAGGATGGTGAAAGAAAACTGAAGGGCTGTTTTTTTATAACAATTAAAATTCAAAATTCAAAACAGAGACAGAACTGATGTATTGTACCCGCAACCGGACGGGTCGACGATCCACATTCCGTAACGTTGCCGCTGCACGGTACTTTAGAAAGCAGAGCCCCGTAGCTTTTTGCTGAGAAGGATGGCAGAAAGCAGATGGGCCAAGCCAAAATCATGTAAAACCTGAAATCAGCTGATAGTTACTCATGCTTTGTTCTTTTCTTTTGGGAGGAGTTATTCGTGTACATCTCATTTTCATAAATAGCGGTACATCCAAATAGGGTTTTGTTTGTAGGCTGCAAATATTTGGAATCGTGGATCCAAAATTTGATTCATTAATATCGAGATTCAAATGGAATATTGTCCATCAGATTTATACCAGATTCGGATTACAATCGGATAATATTATATTAAAAAATTATCAAAACATTTTAATTTATTAATAAATTAAATTAAAAATGACTTTAATATTATATATTATGAATAAAATAAATTAGAAATAACTTGTTTTAATCTCAAACTTACGACTTCTTTAGTAAAAATACAACATCCAAATGGCATCATATGTGATCTAAAAGGGGTGAATTCATGTTCAATCCAATTATAAAAGGATCAAAGTCAGACAAATGGATACCATTTGCAAGCTTATCTTTTTATTAGAGATATATCCCTTAAGCTTAATTTGGAAGGAGTATAAATACAAATAAGTAGAGTGCAAAATCTTGTATTTGCATTATATATATCCTTTTTCTAAATTGAGCCTTAGTTTGGAAGTGATGATGTGTGATTTGGTTGCTCCTAGTTGGAAGGTAGCTTGGGTGTTGGACTAACACGTTGCTGGTCGAATTGTAAGAAGCGCAGTATCAAAGGTCCTGAGGTGCTTTACCTAGTGTGGACACTTTGATGCTTAAGTTAGCAAAGAGTATTGTAGCGAGTTGGTTTGCTTGTAAATATGAGAGTATGAGAGCTAAATCGTACGTACTTTATAAGGATGGAGGTGATGCCCTTATATAGACAAGCTATCATAGGACTCACGAAACATATCCCGAGATTTCCGGCCCATGTAACCAAGAGTTTGATTCACACCTAGAGATGGACTTCGTGTGAGCCGATAAGGCTTATCGAGTCCATCCAATCCGGGTGGGATAATGATAAGGCTCGCTGATGTGCAGTGTGATCCCGAAGAGATTGGAGACGACTGGCTAGCTTCTAAAAGAGGGCTACATGGTACCTCGGCAGGTCGGGACTCTACAAGCTACTCGTACTTTAGTCTTAGCCGTGGTTTTTGAGATGCCTAAGCTGACTTAGCCTGTTGAGGTGTTCGAAAAATGCTGAGTTGTCATCTAATCATCCAGTCGCTCTACGTGTTCGCATACTAACTAGTCGGGCCAAATTACCCTTCATCAGGAAGGAAATACAAATACAAATGTATAGAATGCATAACCTTGTATTTTGCATTATTTTGTATACATTTGTACTGTACATAATTGTAATCTTTCCAGAGTACAAATACAAATATGTAGAGTGCAAAACCTTGCATTTTATATTATTTTGTATGCATTTATACTGTACATATTTGCATTTTTACTCTTGAGTTTGGAAGGAGTACAAATACAAATATGTAGAGTGCAAAACCTGGTATTTGTATTATTTTGTATCTATTTGTATTGTACATATTTACATTTGTACTCTTTCCAAATTGAGCCTTAATAAAAAATGCATGAAAATGAGATATGCCCTAAACAATTAAGAATTCTTAATGTAGAATATCCTTTATCGTCCAAATGTAAAGAAAATGCCCATTTGAGAGAGTTTTCTGCATTGGTTTCAGTGTTGCAAGGTAGGCCCTGCCATGGGTGATCATGGGCCGAGCCAGGCCTGATTTTGGGCCAATGTCTTCCATATATAAAACATTACATGATCTATAATATATTATATTAAATGACATAACATGCATATAAAATTATTTTATACATTATATAATATAAAATATTATATATAATATAAATTATACATGTCATGATATAATATTTATATAAAATATATAATCTAATGTAAAATAACATGTATACATGTGTATACATTATACACAAAATGTGTAAGTTTAAATATATGCGGGCCGAGCCGGGCCTAGGTTGGGCTTAAAGTATTAAGCCTAAGCCTGGCCCTAAAATTTGTAGGCCTGATGTGAGCCCAAACCCGGGCCGGGCCTGAACACAAAACCTAGGCCCAAGCCCAGAATTTCCGGGCCGGGTTGAAATGATTGACCCCCTAGGCCCTGCACAGAAAGTCGAGAAGTTGTGTTTGATGATCGATTATTCAATGATACTAGTTTTGGTAGCTTCTCCAAAGCCACTCAATCAACACAAAAGCTCACACAATTAAACAGTCTCAAAAAAATACATAGTTGCCACTTTGGAATCAACATCCCGTGCACGAGATCCCGTGCACGAGCACGTGCGTGAGAGAGAGAGAGAGAGAGAGATCCTTTGAATGGCTCCCCAAGCCCCAACTCCCAAGGGTCGTCAAATCTAAGCTTTGGCCCACCTCAGGTCATCCTATAGTTTGTATTTTGAAAAAGTACAGATAGGCCCAATGTAGATTTCTGAATTCCATTGCAAAGTTATAAACATTCAAAATGTCAAAAACCCTCACTATACATCAATATCCGCCCATAAATTGACATAAATTCTAAGTTAGCACCCATCCCAACTGTACTTTGGGCCTAAATTTTGACCCTGGGCTGAATCGTCATTCTCCCTTTACATTTTGCATCAAAAAACTGTTTTAAACATTGGGCCATGGGTTGAATGGTCTGAATGTTTGGTTTGATTGTTCGGTATATTCAATTAAAAATAAAATTTTAAAAACTCAAAAAATAAAATGATCTAAGGTATTTTTAAAACTATTTTATATTAAAATAATCTTTAATAAATTTATATCATAGGCTCATACCAACTACTAACACATGCCTATAAAAAAACTACCAACATATGCATTTGGGTTAATTTTAATCAAGTCAACATCTCTAATAATTGTATCTCAAAAGAAAAAACATCTCTAATAATTGCTTTATAAAACTGTTTCACTGTTGATTCAGGATTCAAATGGTCCGACTGCATGGCCCGATCCAAGTCTGATAAAGATAACATGGATATACAGAAATAAGGGCCCGTTTAATTTGCGGGAATAGGAGTTTGGAATGAGTTCGGCTTCTGTCAGAGCAAGTTGGTGCTCACACGTTCGTGCAGCCCCTTGCAACTTTACATTGTGAATATCTTTCATGAAATACGTTAGTTAAATAGGGAAATATTCCCAATGCAAGACTGTTAGAATGGGTTTTGCTCTCACCGAAGCCAGACTCATCTGGAATCAGAATCTGAATGGGACATTTAGTTGGGTAGAAGTGGAATCTAATTTCCACTCTTGGTAGAGGGAAGTGCCATTTCCTCTCCTCCCTTGGAAATGAAATCCTTTTCCAATTGATTCTAACTCCCACTCGAATTCTTATCTGAATAAAAGACAATGGAAATAGACCATTCTGATTCCAATTGGATTCTGATTTCCCAAAATATTTGCTCTTTCTGATGGGGTTGCGGTAGTGGCGTTTGTCCAAAGGAATTGGAACTCCCCTTCAATGCTCATGCAACCATGTAATGGGGTTTCTGAGTTCTGTAAGGCAGAACCCAGGCATCTAGATGAATGAATAGTCATACTCACAAATCACAATCGTCACAAGACCTCTGAGATCAGAATCGGTTGGTGGTTAATGGCTAGTGGTTACATAGAATGAAATCTTTTTTGTTGGGATCCACCAAATGGTTGGTCACCATTTCCCTTCTCCTACGTGGGGTTTTCGTTCCTTTACCACTGTCCAGATTACAGTCAATTCAGGAATATTAATCCTGGATTATCACTTTATAAAAGAGAAGCGTATGATCAGCTCCCTCCACATATTTTCTTATTCTTTCTTTCTTTCTCAGTTTTTTCCTCCACCCAATAAAAGAAGAGGAGAAATGAAATGTAATTGATGAAAACATCATCACAAAGTCATAATTGTTAGGTAAGAATATCATTAATTTCTGGGACCCAATCACAGAAGAACAGACAAACAAGGGATGACCAAAAAAGAAAAAGAATCCACGACGCCATACGTGTAGACTACACATATTTATGCTACAACCAGAAGAGTTGACAAAAGAAGGCTGAGAGCTTCTTATATAATATAAAGCTGCGTCCGTAGTAACTAACTGTCCATCTGTTTTGTGCAATGGACCCCCTCTCGCCAAGTACATGGAGAGAGGCAGGTCACAGACAAAGAGAGATGTTCTCCATAATCTGCAAGTTAGCTTTTCTGTGAAAGTAACGACCTTCAAACCTTGCCCATGAATTATTCACAGTTACATCTAAATTCTGTCTTCTACCCCACTCTTAACAGCGGGAATACTGGTAGCAGATGCCATGGCCGGATTTTATGTAAAATTCTTCATCAGATTCTTTCTATCTGTTCACTTCTTTGCTGTTCTTGTTTACTCGGTGTGGTGTCCCAGTGAATTTCGACACATCAATCCTAATTTTGAACAGAAGACTAATCGTTTTTGGGAGTTTGAGGAGCAATCTAATAGTTGGGTTGAAGTGGAATTACCTTTTGATTTGGTTTCTTGTATCAATGGAAACTGTACCAAGGTGGGTTCTATTTCTCAGATGAAGCAGCAAGAGGAAAGCTTGCAGGGGAGAATTGATATTCCTGAACAAGGGAAGAACTCAAAGGTCATGCCTGGTGACAGGGCATTACTGGACGAGAGTTCTAATATTGTTCTCCCTCAAAGGAAGAGAATTTCTCTAACTAGGATGGCAGAGATATCTATTTGGGTGACAGGGGAAAGTGGGTCTATCTATGAAAGGTTCTGGAATGGGGTGCAGTGGGTAATTGCACCTCACGATTTACCAATATCAGCTGGTCCTGCAGTTTCAGTTTTTATTGTCAATCAGACTTTTATTGCGTTATCTGAAGCAGGAAATCTATATCAGGTAATATTCTGCACAGCCTGCTTCTATTTCAGTATCAGATGAAATCTCTGAGAGAGAGAGAGAGAGCAGAATATCTTACGGTAGCGAATCAATATTAGTAAGCTCCATGAAATTAATTCTAAAAATTAGCATTGGTTTAGTTACTAACCCTTCCGTCTGGTCCATTCTAATTCTAAGGTTTTATTACGTTTGATATTTATTCCACGGGATACGGTTAATTTTCATATCATATAAAGCTGCAGCGGTACTTCCAGAGAGGAGCTAGAAGAGTAATAAATATAACTATTGTAAACGAAATTTCTTTAATTAAATTCAACAAACAAAATAACTTGTCCTTTCTAGTTAACAAAGAAAAATAATTTCTCCAATATAGATTCATTTAGAAAAGTAAGAAATACTAAATTTTGTTTGTAAATTGTAATGGCCACTTGGATTGCTATATACCTACAGAGAGAAAATCGCATACTTTCTTTCTCTTCTGTATTATAATTAAACAGCACTCATCATATATATTCATCTACAGTATTTTACTAATATATTCCTGCTTTTCTTTTTTCAGCTGCAGATTAGTGAAAGCTCACAGGCAGTTTGGATTGAGTGCACGCCTACACATACAGAAACAAATTCTAGCTTAATCCTGATCAAGTCTGGTGTTGTTTCAAATGATGGAAAGTAAGCAATCTATATTGGAAGTGTTCATGCCTCCTATACATGCAAAACCTGTTCCCACTGCTGTAGAATCCTGTAAAGCTGAATTCCTGTGCGTACCTTATTATCTTTTTTTTTTTTTTTTTTTCCTTTCCTTTCTCCTCATCAGAAGAGCATACTTCACCACAATTGGAGGATCCCTGTTGGAACTCATTGAAATTAAGCCTTGGAGGTGAGACTAATGGCTGTAATCTCAGATAATAAATCCTAGTTCAGTTACAGAGTTTTCAACAAAAAAAAAAAAGTTCAATTACAGACTTCAATGTTTGATTTGATCTGAAATCAACTTTAAACAGGTGGATATATCATGGCCGACCCCCTGGTGGAAATGCTGCAGCAGTAGTCAATGTTGCCACTGTTAGACCAGATGTGGTATTTACAGTGAGGTAGCAACCATCACATTATAATCCTCACAAAGCAAAGTGTGCCATTTTCTATGGTTTATTTTTATGCTAGCATAGTAAAGATATTGTCTTCAAGATTCTACATCACTAATTCACAATTTATACCAAATAATAATATGGCCAATCCTGAATCAGAATTGATTTGATGAAGAATCATGCAAATTCTCTTCTGTAAACGTAGTGGCCTTCTTTTCTGTTTGAGAGTCATCAGAAAATGCTAAATATGAAATCTTTCAGTGCAGTTCCAGGGGAGATCTTTATGAGCTAGACCGAAGCTCAAGGCCATCATGGAAGAAACATATATGGGGCGAAGGATCAAAACAAGAAATTTCATTGGCACCATCCATTGGATGTACTTTGCATGGCTTGGTTGGAGCTCATTCTATATCTCTGTTCCTTTTAACAAAGGTACAACACTGAGTTTGTATCTATGCCTATGTAAAAATAGAAAATACATTTTATGGTAAGTACTAGAAAATTTTTATGTTATAATATCTCTCATATGGTACCATATAGTTTGCAAATTAATAACCTCAACTTGTAGTATCCACTGGGTTCCCTTTATCACATTCAGAACAGTGTCATTCTAATCTGATTCACACTTTTAGGTTCTATAGGTAGAGATGAACTTGAGTATTTTTTTCATTATAATTGAACATTGCAAACTCACTGTGGCAGATTATTTTTGTTTGATAATTACAAACATCTAAGTTTTACTAACGGGACACCATTCTTATTATCATTGTTTTATAAGACTTTGTAGACATGCAGGATGGTCACTTGATTGAGAGAAGGCTGCACCAGAGGAAGTGGAGATGGATAGCTCATGAAGGTCCAAAGGACCAACACTTAACATCTATCACACCTGCCACTCAAGACGAACTAAATGAGAAGGTTTTCTCATTGTTCTTTACTACATCTAGTGGATCCGTATATGAATATCAGCTTCCTAAACATTCACGTAAGCTCCAATTTAGACCTTGCAAACAAAGACATGATTTCATTCCTTCAGTTAAGTTGTACTAGTCTGCATTGTACCCCTAGCTAAGAATGCAAAATCAAGTCAAGGTTTCAAACCTACAATGTTAATTGTTTATCTGTGTGCAAAATGAAATTGCTTTCATTTTTTATGATTCATTAATATATTGATTAGCTTCTAAACCTAAATTTTGTGATACAAGTGTTAGAATTAAATTCTGCATTATGTTTATGAATTAATGAACATGTTGATGCTGATTACCACTTCAGTCAGGTGAATTTGCTTCTATAGCATTCTTTTATCCTCTCTTCAGCTTGTGGGGAGTGTTCTGCCAAACCTGTAACTGGTAAACGGTAGATTTTAGTCAAGAAAACAACTTCTCTTGATTGTTTCTATTGTAGCAAACTGATTATCTTTTATTGTCAACTAGAGAACTGAGCAGTGATTCTTTTACTTATTCCATTTGGTAAGCACATACTCAGAGAGGAAAACCAAGGGAGGGCATGTTACATTTAAAATTTCAGTGAGTGCTTCGATAGTGAATGTCAGACTCATTACCCCACTAAAACCCACTCTGGCTCCTTAGAGCCCCACAAATCAAAGCCCAAGGAGGGATGGCAGACTGGCAGAGTATGATCACCATCACAAAAGAGAGGTGCACCTTATTATAGAAGGATGCTACAAGCCTTCAACTTTTCATTCATTATTAGAAGAACCACAACAATGAATGATAAGACAGATCTAATATTTATATTTAACAATTAATGGATCTACTTTCATAAGGAGCTAAAACTTTCAACCAATGTGGCTTAAAAATCAGAAAACTATATCTTGTAGAGACTGAGTTGCCCTTGACTTCTAGTCTAATTCAGTCATTGCTCAAAGTTGGGCCTCCAGATTCATGGATCCAGCTAAAACTCATGGGGTCTTTTCTAGGACTAGAGTATGTAAAATCCAAATAGGTCGTTTCACTTACATCAACTAGCACCAAAATCCCCCAGCCCCCACTCAGCCAACCCCCACTGCCCCTTCTTGTGATATTTCAAATTTCTTTGCTTACATTCTTGCAAAATAGTACAATAATCTGACACTACCACAACTGTCTTTTTTCAATCAAAATTCTTCATCACAGTCTAGGGAAGTTGAGTAAAACTATATGATGGAGATCCTACATCTCCATAAGGCTTATTGGGGGAAGTTTTGCCACGGGATATAGGCCATCTATTTAACAATTATGTACCTTCTTATGCTGCCTTTTATTTTGGGCATCTAGGGTAGTTTGGTCATTTCAATTTATTTGTGTGGGTCTGGAAATGGGAATGTGTCCATTATCTCTTTCTTCATGCTAATTTTGAACCTCTAAAGTTAGTTTTAGCTTTCTATTTAATTAGGTATGGTCAGTGCTTAACCCCTATAGAAAGCCTATTTGTAGTTTACTGGCTTTTACTTCATGTTTATATCTCCTGTTCCCCTTTGATATGGAACATAAATTTAGTACAAGGATGGCCACTTTGAAAGATCCAACATTAGGTATCAATTTATTGAAGAACCACCGTAGTATGATGCTCAATGTAAAATTATAAATGAATTTCTTTCAACCATGGCTGTTACATTGCTTAATAAAAGGAATAAGCATTATAATTTGGAAGTTGGGAAAAATCAGAAATTTAATAATCAATTGTAGCAGAAACTATATATCTTTGTGCTCATTAAATTATATTTGATTAACACCATGTTATTAGCATATTGGAGTTATTAGGTATGTGATGTGGTTGAAACATATTTGGCATTGATACCAACTCCAATTTCAGTCTAATGGCTAATATGAGTTGGCAGTTAGCACTGGTTATTTACAACCATCACATCTTCTGATACTCTCTTAATTTTACTTTCTTGTTGGACTGCCTTTAACATATCAATTAGTTGTAGCCTTGAAAGTTTCCTGAAATATAGATTACACTAGTCAATCTTTTTTTACAGAACTTTTCTACATAAGAATTATGCTCCTTTAGATATGATGAGTGTACTTTCAGAAAGTACAAGAGATATCAAAATGAGCATGCATTAATTAAAATCTACAAAAAAAAATCTACCATGTGTAAGACAACTTTCCGCATTGCACATTAACATAACAATGACACATGAGTTTGAAAGTTCATTTCTATTAACAGGATATCTTATGCATTTTTGAATAAAAGCCATGAATGCAAATTTTCTCTGGGAAGACAGGTACATCTCAGGGGAATGAAATGCTAGAGCAGTGGGTGAATCACATGCATCCACCACACTCAAAAACCGCAATGGGAATTCCAGGCCTGCTATTGCAAGCTGGCAGGATAGTGTTCCCACTAGATGATGGTAGGCTTGCAGAATTACATTTACCCGGCATCGGTGGTGAAAGTTCTGGCCCAACTCAACAGCTCAATGTGCGAAGAAAAACATCAGTTAATTATGAATGGTCAGTCTTAGATGCCCCAGAAACTGAAGGATGGAATAAAGAGTATTGCACTGAAGAACGAGGACCCTTGAATTGTATCGCAGGTATAAAAGATGAGTCAATTTCCTCTGGAATTACAAGGACAACAACAAGAAGGCGAAAGGGAAACCAAGCACAACAGAACTACCTATATCCAAGTACATCAGAAAGTAGCCTCACTAAACCTTTTGACCAAAGTAACTTCCTTATAAACTGGACTAATACAAACTTTCACATGCGAGTTATGCAGGAAGGCAAATCATTTTTTCTCATAACAGATACTGGACTGACTTATGAAAATCTATATACTAATAATGTATGGTTGTGGTTGAGGCATGAGCACTCAACAATTATGAAAGGTACAGTAGGAAGCTACAATGGGAGTTTGTTTCTGATTGACATACATGGGAACTTACTTATGAGAGAAAGAAGCAGCAATAAGCTAGCATGGATTAACTGCACTGCCATGAGAAAGGGAAGGCAAGTGATTGGGGGTCCTCCATGGGACAGATTACCTGGACGAACATTGAAAGTTACAGCTGAAGATTCACTTTTCTTTGTGAGCAGAAATGGAAGACTAGTTCAATTTATGGTAAGTTTTCAGATACCAAACCAAAATGAGTATTCTATATTGGGGCAGTATATTTAAAGAAATAATTTAAGCACTTAATATAGGTATTATGACTGTTTTTGTTTTTTTTGGTTGTTGTGAGCCAGAAGAATATGTATTTAAGTTGCAATTGACAATACTAAATTAAGCTGTCATACACTTCTGATTTATGGACCTATTTTAATAGGTTGCCTTGCGAAAATTCAAGTGGAAAGACTGCCAAAACCCCCCAAATACTAGAATTGCATGTATAGTAGATCAGGAAACCTTCCGTGAAAATATAGTGTTTGTTGTTGGGAAGAATGGTCGGCTATATCAGTATAACAAAGTGACAGAATTGTGGCATGAACACTATCAGTCCCCACATTTAGTTCTATCGAGATCGCCTGGAACTGCTATGAGGCCATCATCTACATCACTAACAGGTTCTCTATACATGACCTCAGAAGATGGAGGACTTGTTGAATATCACTGGAATGCATTGGATGGATGGAACTGGGTGGAACATGGAACACCAGACAAAAGTGTAACTCTAGTCAGCCCACCAGGTCCTTGCTTTGAAGGAAATCAATTGTTTTTGATTGGATCAGATGGTGAAGTTTATCTGAGATACTTGGAACAAAGTACATGGAAATGGAAAAACTATGGTTTCCCCTCTGTGGAAAATATGTCTGCTAAAGATCAAATGTTAATGGAAGCAAAATATGTAAAGGATGAAATCTGCATCAACGAAGATATTGTGGCTAGTATCGTTAAGAACACACAAGACATACATAATTTCAACAGAAAGTGCAATGCAAAGGTTGGTAGCAATCTGCATTTTTCTATATCAGTAAAAATTTTTGATGTTATTACTGAAAAGATATCTTGATCTTACACAGGTGGCATCAATACGTCCAATCCCATTTTCGGAGAACTCAGTGATCTTTGAGTTAAGAGATGGAAGAGTAAGCAATATAATAAATCATAACTTTCCAGTAGCATCTCAAAAAAGAAACCAGATTTCCATTTATGTCCACCTCCAACATAAGAAATGCTAGTTGTATGTATAACATGCATACAACTACAACTGCAGGATGGAAATGGAAAAGTAACACTAAACATGATTCAAAATGAAAAGCATCATATATTGAAATGTTAGGTATAGATACTTACAATGGATTTCTGTTAAAGAAGCCAAACCCTTTTAAAATTTTGAACAATCTCTTCAGATTTTTTTTATCTGACACAAATATTTCCCATCCCAAAAGGCATAAGGAAGAACTGGTAAGTTCAGCATTGTCATGGACCTTTTTGAATATTCCACTCCTGACCTTCATGACTGTCAACCCTTTTAATCTTCAAATTATAACATGCATGGTTCAATTTTCACTGATTGACAAAGTGAAATATTGGAAAGGATTTCCACAGAAACTTGTGAACAAAGACTTTTCAAATCTCATGTCAGAAAATTAAAAGAAAGCAATAGCTAACAATGCAACTTCATGGCAGTTGGCAGAATTGAAACAAATAGATGGCACACAATGGGAGTGGTCACGTATCATCAGGACTCCAACAAGCCTATGTGCTGAAAGTTATTGGACTGCTTTGGCATCGTGATGCTTCCTACAAACTCTTACACACCAAAAAAAAAAGAAGAAATCAACCCAAAAACAATCCATATGGGAACACTGTACAAATACATGGGGGTTGGTGGTGTCTTCTGTCATGCTTTCTGGGCAGCATTGTAAAAAGACTAAAATACAATATATGGGTGACTGGGTATCAAGTCCCATCTTTGGGTGTTTGTAATCATCAACTCAAATTAATAAAATTGCTCTTTAGTGATAAAAAAAATCAAGCAAGAGCTGTACACTATATTAACATGTCCTAATCTATTAGTTTCAATAAATTGATCAGAGGAATTTCCATTCTTCTATGAAATTCGTTTTAGAAAATTTTCCCATATCAATTTGGGCATTCTATTCTGTTAGCTCTTATTGGGGCTAATAAATGGCTTGGGCGTACTGGCATGAATAAAAGTAGTACTGAGAATTTCTTAGGGGCATTCATTAAATCCTTTGCAAAAAATGTTGGTCTGGCATGAAGCAACTGCTATGGAAAATCACCAAAAATCATTTAGTTTGAAGCAATTGGGGCTTTTGGTTGCATCGAAAAGAGGACTGATTGCGATATTTTTCATAAACCTTTCCGTATCATAAGTAAATTTGTTCATTAGTTGTCATCTTTTGCACTTATTCATATTATGCATGTACTGATAATTGATTTCCTTAAACTGTTATGTTAATGTAACTGTGTAAACAGTTGAGCATTTCGTATGAAAAGTTCAAAATCTTATTGAACTTAGCTTTATCAGCATTTCTATAGAAAAGCAAGGTTACACTTCTGGGACGACTGAGGAGCCTTGCATGCACCTCCTTGATGATCATTTTTGTGAAAATTCAATAACTGCAGAACGGGAATCTTACACTCAATTTCAGTGTTTTGTAGAAAAACTCGTCAAACTAGTCACTTTTGTGATTCATACCATTTACCAAGCAGCAAGATGTGAAAAATCCATTACTAGTTCACCCAAATGCTTAAAGGAAGAAATATAGGTCAAGTCTCAAAGCAAATTTATACAGTCTGCAGATTAAGTTCTCTTGTGACATTCCAAGCATTGACTGCTGCATAAATCAAGTATGATGTTGATATTCTGTGTGATGGCAATTTGCAAATCCAGGGAGAAGTTCAATTTAGAAAGGTCTCTATCTTAAGCTTTACCGATCAGTCACACTATCGGTGAATCCTTGTAGTTCCCATGGATTTGCATTTCCAAACAAATAACGTTTTTCTTTTGATTGGATAGTTGAATTGAATATAGAGTACAGTGAAGAAATTCGCCGCACAAGGAAAAGATAAATTGCAATTTTAGAGGTTTCATTTCATTCCTCTAGAACTTTCAAACCAAACACAGCATCATTGATCAAATCAGGGAGTGGGAGTGCAAACATTGGATTGAGCGCCCATGTTCGATTGTTTTTTTCTTCTCCAACAAATAAATTTATACCTCAAAAAAAAAACTTGAGAAAAAAACTCATATTTTTAATCAAAAAAAATTTGAGAAAAAAACATGAAAGAAAAGGTAGGAAAAGGAAGGGAAAGGTAGGGAAACCTGTACCAGCCTTAGTGTGAGGTTTCCTTACACTTTATTTCAAACCAAACACAGCCTTAGTGTGAGGTTTTATGGGCGATCTTCTCTCAGTCTCAGAGCATTGTTAACAAATACATTGTGCAATATGGAAGTAAGGTTATGTACTCATCTAGTTCTAGCATGGTCACATGGAAAAGACAAAACATTATTCCATCTTAGAACTTAGTAAATAAAGATTTCAATTCATTGGTTTATTTCCTTTTTTTTTTGTTTCAATTCTTTTCATATTCCTCCATGAAACATTTCGTTGCCTGTCTGCTTAGAAGACAATCACTGCCACTACTCTGCAATCATCTTCATTCAAGTCTTGTTCACCCACCTACAAAATTACATACAAGAAGACAGAAATTCCTATGGTAATTGCACTTCTTTTCTCCACACTTTTGAACTGACACATTTATGTATACATTGATGTGGAACTGAATTTCTTTACCACATTAACGAATCAAAATATATGATACACATCAGATTTACATCATGTGTAAAAGAAGGTGAACTTTTGTTATCGAGGATTAGTTTCTTTATCTCTAGCACGGGATTTAATGTAAGTGTTTATTTGGTTCCAGAAAGAGAATCTCGATCCAAAGAGACGCACCCTCACTGATTTTCTTGATCCATCTCTGACAAACTCTAAATCCCCGGAGACTCCATATTCAACAGATTCAGGATCTTCCAGAAGAGGCAATGCAATAGAACCCTGTGAGTCGAGGTTTCTGATCCATCCACGTAGTAAATAATTCACAACCTGAACAATGAGGAGAGAAGGACCAACTTCTTTAACTACCCTAATAATGGAAAAGTGAAGGCAAAACAGAAGGGGCTGTCACACAGTTTCAGGGAAACAACCTAAAGAAATGATGTATATAGCTCAGTCAAAACTTGTCCAACTTCTACAGCTATCAAGAATGAGAGTTATACCTCAGGAACCTCGTCATGAGGGCAATGACCTGCTGGGCTAATCTCATAATATGGAGCTTCAGGCAGTTGCCGTTTCACCTGGCGCCCCCACACAGGCTTTACCCAAGGATCTTCTTTGCCATACATGAGACAGATTGGGACATTGTTCTCTTGGCATCTAAATAAGAGGATATAAATTCCTTAACTGTGAAAGAGAAACAATGGGTATAAATAGTGACTTGAATTCTTGAAAATCATATACCTAGATAAAGATTCACGGAAGGAAAGTTGTCCTTTAGGAGCACACATGATTGATGCAAATGATGCAGCTGCTGCTGGATGTTGTGTTACTTCAAGTATGCGAGAGAAAACCTTGTCAACTTTTGTTGAGTGATCAGCATAAACTTGCTTAAGCAAGTTGCCTATATTTCTGGGGTCACTTATCTTTTGCCATCTGCAGGAGAGAGGGAGAGACAGAGATATTTCAGTTAACGCAGCTACTCAGACAAAAATAGTTGTGGAAGAAGTTGGAGGCAGAAAGCATATTCTTCCCTGGGAATACCAGATCAGCATAACATAAAAAATATTATATTTTTAAGCTTCACTTGATAACAATAAAAATAAACAAAATGGTACTTTCACTCATTAAGGGAATAAGGATTGTCAACATCTGTTCTCAGCAAACTTGTAAAAACTAGATTGCCTTAGATAAGAAGGAAGAGGTATTCCTCCTTCACATAAATGGAAACAAAATGATGAACTCGATCAATGAAAGTTAAAACTTACACCAATTCTGTGAGCTTTCTGGCATTTGTTGGCAGTGGAAATGTCCCTGCCCATGGGAAAATCCTGGCTAGTCTTGGAGATCTAATAGGATTAGGAAGAAATCCCCAAAATGGTGTTGCATTTAGCAGTGTAACACCCTTCACTAGCTGAGGATTACATGCTGCAAAATAGAGTGCCACAAATCCTCCTAGAGAGTTTCCCACAACATAAACTGGTTCACCAATAACCTGCAGCAAGGCTTACCAGTTTAGTTTTCTTTTCCATAAATTGGAAAAGAAATAACACACTTAGAAGTTAGAAATACTAAAAGTTTTACAGTGAACAAAACACAGTAAAATAAGAACTTCTTTATCTGAAGGACCAATATTTTATTACTGCAATTACATTTTATCAAACAAAGAGAGTGCAAACATCTTTGCATAAATAGATAGAATTACTATAATTCTCTCAAAAATCTATCAAACACCAGGGTTGACAAGAAGCCTAAAGAAGAAGAGTAAGAATTGGGATCTTTTTAAACAGCTTTTAAATAACCATAAATATTAGTATGATTAATAATCTTCTATATTACTACATTTCATAATGAGAGAGATAAGAACGTAGACACTGCACAGTTTGCATTCTTGTAATGAAAATTTATTGATCAAAAGAGAGAAAAAGAGTACAAATGATCAATGAAAGAATAAAGAATGTCTAACCCCCAGGAAAATAGATTCCTTGCAATTCCACCCTTAGCCAAGCAGTGTACCAGAAAGTCGGCAGACCTAGGTATTCATATGAATGAGATGTTCAGTCTGAAAACTATGGCTATTACCTCTCTGATATAGTGTCTTAGACTCCGAGGACTATTTCATCCTGACTGCATCCAACCAATGATGACCTAAGATACCCCCCTGCCCACCCCCAAACAAAAGAGAAAAGAAATCTCTACCCCCTCAAAAATCAACTATGTTTGCTCTCATGATGTAGTTTCAAAAATCAGAAGTATATTTTCTTATTAGTAACAAAAAAATTTTAGTGATTAAAAAAAATAATTTTGTCGAAGTACAGGTTTGCTTAAGACAACAAGCTGGCAATAGCCACCTAGCCCTCTTTACCCTACATGTCTAGTAAGATTCCTAGGGAACTAGGGTAACATTTCTACCTAACCCATAAGCTAGACTACTTGCCAAACTTCAAACCTGACTAAACCTTGTATGTACTAACCCATCACTGGACTACTAACACCACCAAACCCAAGTACATCACCAGTGCATTTTTAAAATATATGAGGCAACATGCTTTCATCCACGCCAAAAAAGAGAAAATAATAGAGAGCATGTATTGGGAAATGCCAAATCGATAAATTTGCAATGCATTCCACCATTCCAGCCTCTTTACCCACACAATCTGTGGAAACACTAAAATAGTATATATATATATATATATTGGGTATAACATTCATATGATTTGTCATTCTCTAGATGTGTGCCAGTCATGTAATTCAAACAGTTACCATGGCTTAAAGAGCAAAAGACTATAACAGTTATTTCACAAACATTAAGTACATAGTCATCTTACTAGCTTATTTATAATAGCATAACTTTGAACCATCAAATGAATCCTAAAGATAACGGCATTTGAGGCATTTTTTTATGCAAAATAGATGGAAGTTGCCACATCAAGGTATGATACTGATGGGGAACAGGTAGATTTCCAACTTGAAAAGAGTCAGAATTCCTTTTCTCAGAATAAAGCATGCACATACAAGAACTGCTAACATACAAAATACCATAACTGTGTAGTAAACATACAAATACTTAATTCTCAACTAGGTAATGTGTAGGGAAACAAATAAATAGAGAAATGCTCAAAAATATGTTAGACTTTTGTAGGATTTAGTATGACTCCTGGTGTACAAGTGATTTAATGTGAGACAGCATCATATATCTTCAGAGGAAAAGGAAGCTAGGCTTACATAGTAAATACAATGTTATTGGACTATGTACTATAATCTGGTTTTGCTGATGATCTACAATCAAAACATCCTGATATTTAAGACCCAACTGGGAATGGATGGTTTTGAGTTAATAAATCCTTAGTGAGTAAAGTTATTCATGTCATTGCATCATTTGTCCTTTCCCATGAAGGTAAACATCATGATGCTCACCAGACTGTATGTCCAGAAAATAGAAAGGAATGTAATTTAAGAATGAGAATTCTAGAAGAAAGGCCCTCGATCCTTATGATTCTTTCAGGTAGTTTCTAGCTGTACGTGGAGCATACTTGACCGATACTTGAATTTTTTGAGTTTTTAACAGTAAAAATTAATACAATACCTTACCTCTTTCTCAAAAAGAATTATTCTTTCAGGTGGTTGAAACTACAGTTTAGAGGATTGGGAAGCATAGGTCAAGATCCCTTGAAGAATATTTTAACAGAAGATATCTCTGAAAAACTCTTCCTTAATCTCTGTTTACTTTATTCCCTTCCAAATTGAACCAATGCCAACTCCAAACATGGATTGCATTGAATGAAAGTGTAATTCAACAAAAAAAAAAAGAAAAAAGAAAACGCTCCAGAGAAGTTTCTACTCTCTACATCACCATGTGACCTCTCCAAATTGGCCTAGTGCCAACTTCAAGCCAATTATTATGTATTTCTCAAGATCTTGCTTTGTGGATGCTAGGGGTGGATTCGAGCCAAGCCGAGCTGAGCCGAATACTTGGCTATTCAAGCTCGGCTCACAGAAATAGTGTTAGGATCAAGCTCGATTCGAGCTAGAGACTTGAGATCGAGCTCGAGCTCAGTTCAAAAGCTCACAAGTTCAGCTTGGCTCGACTCGAGCTCAACTGCAAGCCAAGCTTTTTCTAAAAGATAAAAATTATACATACAAAAATATTTTTTTATTTTACATACAAAAATTTAGAATTACAAAAATTATTTACTATTATACATAAAAAATAAAAATACCATATATAAAAAATACTATTATATATAATAAAATTTATTTATTATATACAAAATATTATACTAGGCTCGATTATATAAAATTATATATATAATTTTATGTATGTATATAAAATTATTTATTTATTATACTAGACTCGATTAGGCTTGCAAGCCTCATGAGCCGAGCTTCACTGGGCTCGAGCTCAGCTTGATTAGCAAATGAGCCTATATATCAGGATCAAGTCGAAGCTTGGTTTAAACCTAGCTGAGCTTGAATAGCTCGTGGCCTCTCCTAGCATAGAAAATCAAAAAAATAATTTAAAATCTTGGAAGCTATCATATTGGAATTCTATAGAAGTAATATCAATATAAACACATAAATATACCAGGAAAACCGCATACCCAAGATGCAATAAGAAATTTTGACATTTAGCCAAATACCTGTTCCACAAAATGTTGAACCTGATCACGCCATAGATCAATTGAATACACCAGCTTATCTGCCCATGGTTCAGTTTCTTTTCCAAAACCCCAGATCTGATCCTCTTCTTCTGAAACACCTTCTTTAAACAGAGGAGCAGGATCTTCAGATGGTAATGACAAGCCTTGTCCTAGAAAATCAATAGCCCATACTCTAAAGTCACGGCCCAGATCCTTCAATTGCTTCTCATAGTGGAAGGATCCCACGCCAAAACCAGGAAGAAAAAGTATCGGTGGAGAATTAACATTTTCACACCCTGACTTTTCATAATGTACTCTAAGTTTTGGCTTCCATTCCCAGAAGCAACTCCTAATAGGAGAACCATGGTCCCCATTGGATTCGTCCTGCAGACCCGGAATTGAAACCTTTGTTATCACTTCCTCTCTTTCTGAAACATTTCTTATACCCTCTCTCCCATCCACCACATAACAATTATAGCTTTCTCTCAAGATGCTGGAATTGTCAACATGCTGACGTTGATCAAGATTCTGAATTTTGGAACAACTTAAATGCTCCGACCCGAAAGAATCGCTTCTGGAATCAACTCCAACACATCCAGGTCGAATTTTTCTAGCAAGAAATATCTTCGACCCGTTCAAGTTCAAGCTTTTCTCAACTAGTCTCCACTTCAATTTATCAACATGACAGGATGGCGCAGATTGGCAGAAGGAGAGCAGTTCCATAGCTTAGAAAATGGCTCTCTGTGATATAAATAAAAGGAAAGAAAACTGAAAATTCAGAGATAAACTCGGTTTAAAATGAATCTTGAGCAGAATTAAAAACAAACCAAACAACCACTTATCAAATGAGTCGAGCATAAAACTCGCTGTTGGATAATCCAGAAATTAGATGAAAATATGAAAAGGATTTCGCTTCTGCATAGCCAATTCATTACGATTTACACGTGGAATTCACAAAATTACACTTCCAAATGATGAAGTTTTAACAAAAGCCTCCATGGCACTAATTGACCATAGAAGAACTCATTTGAACTGTTACTGCCTGAACCTATAAAAAAAAAAAAAATCAAAATTTTAACCGAAAAATCGAAAAGAAAAGAACAGAAAAAGAAGCTTCAGCGATTGTAACCAGATTAATAAAACTGAAGAAAAAGAGAGCCTACAAGATTGAGAAGCTTGAACCTCATCCGCGGATCTAGTTACCATTAAATCCAGATATTTCTCGAAATCAAAGTTGCTTTGAGCACAAAAAATCGAGGAGGCTCTATAACCGGACAGGGATAGATTGAGAGCGAGAGAGGGAGTTGATTGTAAGCTTCTCCGTAACAGGATCTGCTACTCACTAATGAGCGCCTCACATGCACATCCATAGTGCATTGGAACATCTCCCGTGAATAATAACTAATAAGAACGGGAGATGTTCCAATGAATGATAGGATGTGCGTGTGAGGCGCCTGTGAAGCGCCAAATGTGATGAGCAGATCCGGTCTCAGCTTCTCCGCAAAGAAAACAAACTGATGTGAGAACTGTGAGAAAGAAGCGGAAAACGGAATTTTTTGCACGTTCCTGATCCGTGCTCGCACATTTCATCATGGTGGGTCCCAGTCTTATGGTCAAATGTGCGGACACAGACAATGTTGGAACGTGTTGGGAAAACATCCCAACTCTCACCTAATCCGTCTGAATTGGACTACACTTGCACGTGGCAAAAGCTCCCTCAATCTGGCTCTCCTTGAAATGCCATGTGTTCTGTATAAAATAATGCTTTAATCCGCCTGTTAAGGAACGCTCTCTTAGCCACGAAAAGAGAATAAAGAGAATAATAGATTGGATGACGTGGTGAAACCTAAGGTTCTGATTCGATGTTGTCAAACTGGAAACTACTCAACATAAATCGCATCTGGTGCCAATCGAACGGTAGAAATTACTACTAGATATTTCATGCAGATGGTAATTACCGGCCGGGTCTAAACCACCAACTAAATGTATCGTACCTGCCTGACCAGTTGTACATCAAGTGGCAAATTTGGAAATAAACAAAAATATGAATTTGCCCACGAAGAGAATTTGTCTAATTACTGCGGCCCGGGTGCTAATACAGTGTTGGCCCACTTCTTGGCCGTGAGTCGGGGAGAGAGGAGGAAATGGATAAGAGTGGCAGGCAGAAAAGGAAAAAGATAATGAAAAGTCTAACGTCAGCTAATTATGTTGTTTGTCTTAAAAGCCCAGATTAGACTTTGGGTATTAATTTTCAACAATTGGATCAGATTCAATGCGAACTGGATTAGATCCGAATTCATCCCGATTTTATTTATGTATGTGTCAAAAGTAAAATATTAATCACTTGCATGGTGTTTGGAAGCGTGAATGTTTTTTGAGACCGATTTTCAAGCAAAAACGTTCATACTTTTAAGACCTGTTTTTCTGGGAAAAAATGTCTTATTTTTGTTTGATAGTGTTCTGCCACGTAGATAGTGAGCAATATTATACTGTTTGGTAAAATGATTTTTATTACCGTTTTTCATATATATGCACACATTACCCTGTAAGATGATGCACGCTAATATCATACTAAATTATATAATGATTCTTATCAAACAGTCCAGATTAATTGGATGATTATTTTATAATATTTTGTCTAAAAATTTAAATTCAACGGTTGAAAATATTATTGGAATAAATCAACAACATCACCCATTGAAAATGGTCTAGATTTATTGGGTTTTTTATAGTTCCGTCCACCCCTAAGGTGGAGCTAGGATTTATAAGGGTAGACTGAATCTGCACGTGGATTTTGCTGAGCAATGTTAAGTGTACGAATTCGTTTTCTTGCACATAGCATGACTCACAGGTGATCGTACATTGGAGCAGATCTGATAATTTCTTAACTCTCAAAGATAAGAATTGAGACCGGATCTGTTCCTCACAGGCGCCTCATATGCACATCCTATCATGCATTGGAAACATCTCCCATATTTATTAGTTATTATACGCACATCCTATCATCCTGTGAAGCGCCCATTTGTGAGGAACAGATCCCGCTTCATAGGAATTCATTTTATTTACTGTCATGGCAGCTAGCTTCCTTCTCCAACCTGATATTTCCCACCCTTCTTGGCAATGCCAACCCCCAGCACCTATATCGGAAAACAGAGTAATCTCTCTCTCATGCCCACACCTTCCAAATATTTTTTTTTTTCAGAAACAATGTTTCCCCTCACTAGTTCCCAAAGTACAAATAATTCAACTGATTTTCATTTTTCGTTTCAGTCATTTATACTGACATGGTGTTTGGAAGATACTTTCTCCGACAATGATCAACTTCCTCAGGCGACGATCTACCTCTTCCAGCGACGGCAGTGACGAAGATACTTTCGGTGAGCAGAGGTTACAGAGGCTCTGTGATGTTCAGCAGTAAGAAGAAAGAATAAGACCGATTTTCGGTGGGTCGAGAAGCACCGGAACATTCCCACTGATGCCAACTCAGATTACACATAAGCGCCATGTAGGAGCCACTTTTTGCCAGCTTAAGGGATGTTTGGAACCGTGGCCGTTTTTCAAAAAAATGGTGCCACATCGGATCCACATAGACATTTCAACAAACACCCATGTATCTCATTGTTTGGTTCAGCCGATTATTAAAAAATCGAGCATGCCTCGAAAATCAGGACCCACCTATCCATGAAACGCCAAATTTGGCGTTTTCATGCATTGGTGAACTGTTTCCCCCAACAGTTGACTCAATGTGGTGTTTACCTGTCAACACATACATGGAAAACAGTGTTTACCAAATAGTATAATGTTGCTCACTGCCTACATGGTAAAAGCGTTTTTTTTGTGAAAAACGGGTCTTGGAAGCATGGGCATTTTTTCTTGAAAATCGGTCCCAAAAGTGGCCACGCTTCCAAACACCATGTCAGTTAACCGTTGGGGGCAACGGTTCACTGATGCATCGGTGGGGTCCTGATTTACGAGGCATGCCCAATTTTTTAATAATCGGCTGAACCAAACAATGAGATACATGGGCATTTGTTGAAACGCCTATGTGGATCCGATGTGGCACCGTTTTTTTTTTTTTAAACGACCATGGTTCCAAACATCCCTTGATATAAGGCCTTTGAATCTGCATGGAATCCAAAGGCAAATGAGTTCAAATCAGCCCCACAAAGACTGTCCCCCACAACGGTCCCATCCCTGCCGTGTATTTGGAACATCTCCCGATGATATATCAAAAACAATAATGTCATCATCGGGAGATGTTCTCAATACACGGCAGGGATGTGGTGTGGGATGTTGTAGGGGCAATCTTGTGGGGGGCTGATTCGGTCTCAAGGCAAATACCCAATGACATAAATAACTGTATGTATTGGTATCAAATTAGACACGTGGCAAGCGTGTTGATAACCATGAATTGACACTTGTGGGGCCCATATTCTCTCTCTCTATTACATGTATAGTCTCCTTAAACTAATTCTTCTTCATGATGAGAGAAGCTAAGTTTGAAGAGAGAAAGCCCTAGTCAACCTTTCCCTCTATAAAAGCGAATAAACCAAAATCGTAAGGCTGTGTTTGTTTTAAATGTAAATACAAATCGATGTAAAATTTCATTATTGATTTGTATTTGTTTTGCGTTTGTTTTTAATTTGAATATGGATTAGTGTAAAACTCCACTCTTGATCCATATTTTAATGTGTTCGTTTTTAGTGTAAGGCTCCATCGACAGAGGCGGAGCCAAGGGGTGGTGGAGGGGAGCCATGTTTCTTAGGTTTTGCCCCCGTTACTCATGTTTCTTAGCTTTTGGCCCCCGCTATCCATGTTTTCTAGGTTTTGCCCTTCATCAAGAAAAAATTCTAGCTCCACCCCTGCCCACCGATTGATTTTTCCATCCATAAGCAATGTAAATAATACATCGGTTTTATAAATGTACAATTAGATTGATTATCAGATCAAAAAAGCTCCAAGTGTTCACTAAAATTGTAAACCCATCGATTGAGTTTTACATTGATAAAAAACTAACACAACCTAATAAGCATAATCACATCGTAATCACTTCCCCTATATTCTTAGGGTGTCATTTTCTCTTTTGACATCAACAATTCTTAGGGCGATCCAAATGACAAATTAATCTAAAACCTCATTAATTGGTTTCTACAAAATTGATCCAGAAATTGTTAATCAGGATAATTGGGTTTGACCATATTATATTTGACATTTATAATTGCCTATGATATAATGTTAAAATATAATTAAAAAAGGGAGAATAGAACTCATCATTTTCGCTTTCTGAACTCAGAATACAACAGTGTTGCAGGACTAATATTGAGAAATATAAGAATGAGTTCAGTCATGCCATCTGATCACTTTTCTTAAAATCGTACTGATTTATTATTAAATCTATATAAACCTTTATGTAGCTTTGATATATCATAAATATATTACTTATTTTTGGATGCTATTAGATTTGTAAATTGCCATGTTTTAATATAGATAATCCAAGCAGAAACGCGGATTCAAGTTCCGCTATTTTCACCTACATCGAAAAGTTAGTATGTTGTGTTAAATATATAAAAAAAAAGTGAATAAAAGATACAGCTATATTATTGCTCTTTAATAGGCCGGCCGGATATCGTCCCCATAGGGCTAGATCCAACATCTAATGATCTGAATAGGCTAGGCTTGCTTTGGTCACAAAATTGGGCTTCGGTCATTAGTTGCTTCTTTGGCACATTGGTCGGAAATTGGGATCGGTTCCTCACGTTGCACCTTACACTAACCTCACAAGCACATCAACCCGTGTATTGAAAATATTTTTCATAAATAATAACGTATAAATACAGGAGATGTTTTCAATACAAGGTGGGATGTGCTCACAAGTAGGGGTGAGTATTCGGTTTATTCGATTAAAAGTTGAACTGAATAAACTGAAATTATTAAAACCAAAATAAAAAAATGAAAATTGAAACCAAAACCAAATTATAATAAAACCGAATTTAATTAATATATATATATATATATATATATATATATATAATATTATATATTATAACCTATAATATATATTATGAAATTGAATTTCATTATAATATATTAATATATAAATATATAGCATATTATACATTAAATGTTATATATTATATAGTAAATTTTAGTTAATTCGATTTATTTGATTAACTGAATTTCTAAGTCTAAAACCTAAATCGAAAACTGAAATACCCAAAAATTGAAAAAGCGAAATAAAAATTTTCGATTCGGTATTTCGATTTTAACCGAATAATGCTCACTCCTACCTCGAGAGGTTGGCGTAAGGAGCAAATCCGGTCTCATTGGTCGGGCTTCGGTTGATCCAGTAATTTTGGCCTTAGTTTGCAACGATAGACAACCGTTAAATTGGAATATTTAATGTTGATGACAATGGATGGTGGTGGTGGGGTAGAGTTTGACCCTTACGCATGTGTTTGGTTTGAAAGAAATAGGTTTCTCTATTTTTTCTATTTTTTTTAATTGGGGGTTTTTATAGTTAACCTCAGAAATCTGACTATGACCGTAAAGTTCAGATGAATCCTATCCGTTGATTGATGTAAAATTCAATTTGGAACACAGCCTTAATCCCATATAGTACAACAAATCATTCAGACAACAGACGCGAAAAGGACGACAACGTAACGTTGTGGGTCCTATTTATCAGCGAGCGATGACCTGCAATTTACGTGTACATCAGCCGGTGAGCCGTGAGCGGGAGTGAGTGCGGAGTGCCCGACTTTTATACCCGATACGAAAGTATGAAACATTGAAACCCTGCTCTTCTAATATCTTCTCTCTCCTTACGTCCGTTCTCCGAGGCGAACAAAGATAAACCAAAATTTAGTGGGAAAGACGACTCGAGAAGCACAGATCAAGTAACAGAGAATGGCGGCCGCAGATGTTGAAGCTGTAGACTTCGAGCCCGAAGAGGATGATCTCATGGACGAAGATGGGGCCGTCGATGTCGAAACGTCACCTAGAGCTCCTCTCCCCAAGCTCAAATCTGCCATCACCGGTGGGTCGTCCTCCTTCTCTGCTCCAAAGAAGACCAAAGGTAGAGGTTTCCGAGAAGAAACAGATGCTGAACGTAACAGTCGTTTTGCCGCGAACAATTTCGACTCCTTGGACTCGGATGGCGGCCCTGGTCCCCAACGATGTCAGTTCACCTACTCTCTATCTCTATATATTCCTTCAAATTAGTTATTTTTTCCCCTCTTCTAGGGTTTATTAGTCCTACTCAGAATGCTGTTATATCCTTTTATTTTACATTCTAGTTTTTCTTCAGTATTTGTTTAGGGTTTAGGATATTTTTTTGGAGGACCAGAGTACTCAGTTTGCAAATGAAATCCAATAGTGTTCGTGCTTGAGATATATAATGCTATGAAACAATCAAGCTTTCCCATTTAATCGTATGGAGATCTTTTCTGACACCCAGAGTATATCGTCATTGGTATGTAACAAGCCACATACTTAGATTGGGCACAACTAGGTCCTACATTTTTGCTCCGTTGGCCATGGGGTTGATTGACCTTGGGACACCTACCTGAACAAGCAATTGAACCTGGCTACCGAGGATTTTGCTTCTCTAATCAACTGTGCTAGATCTCATGAACCTTGGGTTGTGATGTTATCCAACTGAACTGTCCCCCTCCTACCAGAGTTTTGTCCAAACCAGAGAATATGAGAAACACCACAGCTGACTCATCCCTACATGGCTATATGTTTTCGTAATACCTGAAAAATTTTGTTGCCATTTGTTGGAGATTTTTCATATTGCTGTGGGTGAAACAAAAGAGTCCTTGGAGCTTAAATGGAATTGGTGCTGTACTCCCTTAGGAATGAACAATCAAATTTATAGGGGATATGTTATTGCCTTCCTTTGGAGCATTTGGGAGGAGAAAAGTTCTAAGATTGTTTACAACAAAAAAGACGATATACAAGGAAAGAGTGTTGAGGGAACAATCTGATACAAATAAAGTGCAGTAGGAGATTCTGTTCTTAATAGAGGGAAGGAGGGCCAAGACATCTGTTCTGATGAATGGGGAGAGTGAGGAGGGAGATATGCTGGGGAGATGGGTTCTTATGCTTGCCCCATGTTTGGAAGTTGTTTCCTTGTTACTTTCAGTTGGCTCTAGGGTTTATCTTCAAAAAGAGCTTCGTTACTTGTACAGAGATGTTATGGTGTATTACAATATACTATATGTTCTATACACACAACCAAACGGGTTGAAGCAAAGGATTTATTTTCACAGGGTTAACAAAAAAAGATCAATCTGATTGACTTTGGGAAAAATTAATATCAGTATGCATATCATGTTAAATTGTTAACCAAAGTGTGGTTATCTGTGATTCTTCTGTGGCAGTTCATGATTAAGGGAAATAGCGTCTTGCTTCCTTCAAAGCATATATCAGTGCAGTTGTTTATTGTATGGAAGCACCACAGTAGTTTGCTTTGGTATGTTTTTCTAATTTTATTGTGTGCCATTATGCTCCTCCTCTTTCCTCTCTCTCTCTCTCTTAAGTTGGCTAGATCATTATATTAGGGTTGCAAATCAAGTGAGTTGTGTCAGATCCAGGGCCAGGAAACAGCCAATCTGCCAACCTGTGGATAAGCCTGGGATAACTGGCCTGAGCAGCTGAGTCTGACCTGAACTACAGACTGCTCAACCATTCTGTAACTCAATTCAGTCAGCTTTGTCCTGTTTAGCAAATGCTTGACCTGAGCCTACCCAAGTTGCAGCCTTACCGGAGCCTGACCTGAACTGCATACTGCTCAGTGCTCAACTATTCTGTAACTCAATTTGGTTGGCTTTAGCCAGTTTGGTTATCTCAGATAAAAATATGAAAATATAAGCTTAGAAAGATCTGAACTGTAGATCTTGCAGTAGCTGTAGAACAACATTCATCCACTTAACCAAAGACTAATGTTGTGGGTGCTTATTTATTTTTTTGATCAATAACACCAACTTCATTAAATTAAAAGAAAAGAGGGAATATGGATACAAAAGGGGAGATAAAATATCTTAGCTCCCCAAAAGCAGAAAACAAAGGGAATGCAAAGAGAAAAGATTAAAAACTAGCCCAAAAAACAGACTCCCTATTCACTCCTTGCTTGGCCAACCCATCCGCAAATGAGTTGGCACTCCTCTTCACCCAGCTGTACTGAA